GATTTGTTTCTGCAGTCTACCCAGACTGACACAAAGATGTCATGTGGTCCCACCATAGACTCAGGAAGACCAGGCTCTTCAAGCGGGCAGCAGGCCTGGGATCATGTCAGTCGGTGACGTCACTGGCTGAGCCCTGGGGGGCTCTGCCACTGTATACGTCTGCCTGCTCAGGCAGCGTTCTGGACTCTTGCTAGGAGGACCCTCAGGGACACACTTTGCTGGGCGGCTGTGGCCTAGCCAAGAGAGGATCAGCAGACTGGCTCTGCCAGCACCTCCTACCGAGCCTGTACTCTCTTCACAGGCTCGAGTGAGAGTCTGAAGAGGAATCTAAAGAAAAGCGTTACTCAGCCTGGTCCCATCACTAACAATCAGGAAGATGTTTTCTTTCAACCCTTTTATAATCTACATATATGTGGGGCTAAGAAGAATCTTCAAAAGCCTATTTTATCAAGTACTTATAGGATCTTCATTCTATCAACTAATCTACAAACACAGAAAGCTGACCATGAAAAAGATAGAACAGCATTGCTCCTCACGGTACAGCCTTGTGACATTATTTCCTATGCCCAAACTGCATCATGAAAATAACCAGGAACCTGTTCTGGGCAATGAGACTAAATTACTTTGCAGGTCCACAGATAACCACTATTTTTGTTTAACTTCTTTTTGGTAAAACTGGGACCACATACCTACCTTGTCCTATATATGGCAGGAATTAGTTATATAAGCAACAACTATTATGTACAAAACCTACCCTTGTTAAAAGGGTGGCTTTTAACTTTTCGTCTCTACAACCCAAGATGGAGAACACATTACACACACGCACACACACAAATACAACAAATGATTTCCTCTCAGTGAGGTTCTGGCCTATTTGAGTGTTCTTCCTTTAAAAATGCGAGGCACACCCTCTAAATTGATATATTATCCAATTCTGGGCTACAAAAGGCAACTTGAAAACACTTTATTCAAATAAGCTGAATGCTGCAAAATAAAATATTAAAACGCGATTTATATTAGGCTGAGTACATGCACTGCCCATTTACTTACAGCTGAGGTCCCCCTTGGGTTATGTAGAATTCAGACCCTCCTTCCACACCTGTCTGTTTACACGAAATCTAAGGCTTTACACTTGGCTCTGCCTTTCAGATCAGGGTTGTCGTCACAGAGAGATCTTTCTGCGGGGCAAGCAGGCCACAGACGAACCCTGGGGGATTTCACTACAGGATATATTTCATGTATGTATTCGTTCTCAAGTTCTCATTCTCCCCGCCTGCCCACCTCTCTCTCTCTCTCTCTCTCTCTCTCTCTCTCTCTCTCTCTCTCTCTCACACACACACACACACACACACACACACACACACACACACACACACGATCCTTGCAAATAAATGGGAAAGCGAGGCGAGCCAGGGCTAGAATCTAATCTTCCAACTGGGTTCTAACTTAAGAGTTCCGATCAAAGTCATATAACTTGAAAACATCCAATGCCCTACATTTTGATAACAGCAAGTCCTCTCCACTCCCAAGGGTGAGATCTGCCTGTCCATCCATCCATCCATCCATCGTGCCTGTACACTGGTTGCCTGGTACAGAGGACTGGTTGATGACAGGAGTGCTAAATAGGGTCAGGAGGGGGGGGGGGGGGCAGTGTGTCGCTGCCAGAACTTCTTCTGGCTATCACATGCCTTGTCAATATCCATGCAGCCCAGCGCTGCTGCGGTGACCGGAAAAAGATGTGCTCACTGTAAGCATACAACAATCACCTTAGTGTCGCTGTCTGTATCTCCTAAAGCATCTCTCAGCCACAGAGGAGAGAGCCTGGCCGAGCAGGGATGAGTGTGGGGAGAGAATTAGCAATACACCTGGCAACTCAAGCCATACTCATCACTATAGGAGCCAGCACTTTCCATTTTATAGGAAAAAGAGGATTCCAGAGGCAAGCTGCAGACTTGGAACAAGACAAATTGACAAAAAAGGCTGGCAATGGGCATGCTGCCATTATCCTAAGGCACAGCGTACTGAACAATGCAGTACATTCTAGAGCTGGGTGCCAGCAGCACTCACTGTCCAGATTGAAGGGCCCTCACTGGCCGAGATTTCAAAGCCTCCTGCCCCCACTGGGGAAGAAATTCAAGATACAAGTATGCTTTGTCCAATACATTTCCAAACATAGAAAGTGACCCTGTCTAAATATTCACACTCTGTAAATACACTGCCTCTGTACAAGGGGCGACTGAGGGGTGGGGTGGGCTTCAGAACACTTGAGGGAAATGGCATGAAAAGGCTCTGGAATCTCCCCAGGCAGGTTCTGAAGCCCCTGAATGACTCAGCACACGGAGCAAACGCACACGCTGACCTATGTGTTTACACGTCAAATTCTACCACCAGGGGCAGGCTAAGCCCCTCCGGTGCGGCAGAGGGGCCCAGCCACCAAGAGAAGGAACAGATCTGCAGGCCACTGTGACCAGGGCATCTTGGGACTGCTGGCTGGTCAGCAGGCACTCTGGCAGCCTGCCTGTTCACTCACACACGCTCCCTAGATTCAAATGAAATGGACCCCTTCTCTTCTTGCTTCTACTGCTTGGGACGCTGCTAGATGCTGCTTCTCAAACCCAAATACGCTTCTCTTAGCTAAACAGGATTTGACTTATAACATTTTCATTTTAGGGAAAATTATTTTTCCACATAGAAAAGTCAGGTGCCACAGAAACTTTGCAATCAGTTAGTACTAAGGAGCTTCAAAAAGTTCGGGGAAAAACGGAATTAAAAGATGGTGTAACTTTTTCACAAACTTTTTAAAGTCCACTCACACTCTAAATGTTGAATGCACGGCAATAAAAGGAAATGTGGGATGTGAACATGAATATATCCGGAAAGGCTGAGGTTAAAAATATAAACTCTATGACCTCCTTTGTGGCAGTGTTTTAGTGCTTTCCAAGAGCCCTTGACCAATTCCCACTCAGAGTGAACCTACAGGGCAGACTAGGCAAGAGCCAAGGGGCTTCCAAGGCCATCAACTGCACAGGAGCAGACGGCCTCGTCTTCTCCTGCTGAGCTGGTGGGTGCAAGCCAAGACACTTTGGGTTCACAGTCAAACACATTACCCACAACACCATCAGGGCTACTGAGAGGATACCAAGTCTGTTTACCCCACGTGGAAATTTCCAGATGATGACCCATGCTTACCTCTTGGGAGAACGGTTTGGGGGGCACTTTTGCATTCTACTTCACACCCTCCTTACACTTTATTGTCCTTCTACTTTAACTATAGTTTAATCATTCAAAAAATAAATGAAGCCCCAAACATAAACAATGCCTTTTTCAGGCCTCACAGCGGAAATGTTAAATTAGTACATCGGGTTAGGTCAGGTGCCACACCAGTCTTCCTTTTTAATTTTTGTTTATCATTTTATTAGGGGCTCATACAACTCTTATCACAATCCATACACACATCAATTGTGTAAAGCGCATTTGTACATTCATTGCC